TTGTATGAGGGGGTTACCTTGGCACCCCTGGTGGGCTGTCTGGCCGCATCCCCACAAGCCCAGGGAAGTTCAGAAGGAAGAGGGTCTCCCAGGCAGTTACAGGAAGCACAGCCACATCTGGAGGAAGGGCTGCAGCCTAATGCAGAGCAGCTGGAGGGGAAAGTGACTGCAGGGATAAAGGGGCTGCAGTCAGAGGACTCAGAGCGGTCGTTATCATCACTGGAGGAGGAGACATGGAGGGAAATGGTCAAGGCGTGGGACGCCCTCTCCTGTGCCTCCATGGAGATACAAGGTGGGGTAGAGACCCTGTGGGGCCACCTCCTCCCACCCAACCCATTTAGCTGTGGAAGGGGCTGGGGACCTGGGGACCCTACATTGCAACCCACGCCACTGCCCCAGCTTTGGTGCCCTTGTTGTCTGATGGGAGCCGCCACACCCATCCTAACCCACCCGTGGTGCCGGAAGTGCAAGAGCCAACAGGAGCAGCAAAGAAGGCTCTGTGAGGAATGACTCCATGGGCCTCAATCCCCTTCACCCAGCTCTACCAGCCCTCCTTAAAAGGACTGTGACCTGGACCAGGTCTCATTCGCCCTTTCCCCCCTTTTGCTGGACCTGGACTTTCAGTGGCTCCAGTGAAGTCAGCTGGAACCCCAGTTGAACAGACTGTATCCAGGGAGTTAGTACCAGAAACTCAACTCCCTGGGGGGGGGGGCATGGGAGAAGGGACACTTGGTGCAAGTGATGCTCCATTAACGAAAGCTGTCAAGATTCAAAGATCCAAACTGCAAGTCGTCGAATCTCCTTGGCTACTGGGCACCCAGGAGGTGGGGCCAGAGGCACTCACAACATATTCTGATCCCGCAGCAAGTTTGGCTTGTGTCTTAGGCCATGCTTGCTTGTGCTTGGGCAACTAAGTGAAGAGAACATGACATCCTTCCTGTTCGGATTGAGGCTGAAGCAAGCAACCTTACGTCTCGCTCTCTCAGCCTACTTCTATACCTCTCTGTCCCTAGACCCTGGTCAATATTTTCATGGATTCCCTTGGACTCAGTCTCCCAGAAACACGGCTACAGAGGCAAAAAAAAAGAAAAAGGCGGGAAGTTTGAAGTGAGCTTGGTGGAGGAACGCGAGGGAGGCACTCACAACAGAGGCACTCGCAACATATTCTGATCCTGCAGTAAGTTTGGTTTCTGTCTTAGGCCATGCTTGCTTCCGCTTGGGCAACCAAGTGAAGAGAACATGACCTCCTTCCTGTTCGGATTGAGGCTGAAGCAAGCAACCTTACGTCTCGCTCTCTCATCCTACTTCTATGCCTCTCTGTCCCTAGACCCTGGTCAATATTTTCATGGATTCCCTTGGACACAGTCTCCCAGAGGGTTTTCAATGTCCAGCTACATCAACCTTGGCCATATGAAACATTTGTAAGGGCCCCACTAAACAAGTAAGAGCATACACCTTCATTGAGGACATCACAGTAAGGGGAGGGGCCTCAGCTGGATAGTGTTTGTTTTTTGTCCAATTATTCCTCATGCCCTCTCATTCCTATTGGCCAGTCTGCTAGTCAGTCATTTATGACACTGAGGTAGGGCTATTTGCATCTGAAAGGTCTCATGACGGCCTGTGCTCACCCCCGTTTCCAAGCCATAGAGCCAGCGTTTGTCTGAAGACAGTCTTCTGTGGTCACATGGCCAGTGCGACTTAGACACGGAACGCTGTTACCTTCCCACCGAGGTGGTCCCTATTTATCTACTTGCATTTGCATGCTTTCGAACCGCTAGGTTGGCGGGAGCTGGGACAAGCGACGGGAGCTCACTCCGTCACGTGGATTCGATCTTACGACTGCTTGGTCTTCTGACCCTGTAGCACAGTAAGGTGACCCAGCACAAAAAGAAACCCAAAGACTCGCCCTATTACTCTTTTTCTGATTTTTCACTGGCTAGTAAGTGCTTGGAAGTCCATGCAGTGCCCCGCCATGATCATGGATTTTTCTGTCTCAAACAAGGGGGATCTTTTCTTGCTGCGGTAGGAATCCCAGTTTTTTACCCCCAAAATGAATCACAATGTAGGCAGACATTCCGCCTTATGAGGCTATGATTTTACTTGGTAGCTCATTTCCTTGCAGCCTCAAGGTTATGATTTGCTTTTACTAAATGTGTGGTCCATTTTGCCTTCGTGAAAAAAGACAGGGACTTCCCGATAAGCACGAGCAAGGGACAGTACAATAAAGGAAACAATGGTTCCTAAAATATGAAGTTGGCCTCACGAGAACTAATTATGGCTTTGCTTGCCCCAAGATTGATGCCCCAAGATCACTGCGACTACTGGGATTGGTGTGGCCTCGTCTAGGATGTAAAGCCTACACTGATCAGGATTTTATAAGTACGTTCAATAAATATTCCATCCTCATTCTCTCCTCAACATTCTGTTGTGAAGGACCTCTCCCTTTTCTTGAGAGGAAAATATGATTCCGAATAGCACCTGCTGGAGAACGTGAGTGGGAGAGTATGGTTGCCCTCCTGCCCTGCTCGTGGGCTTCCCATAAAGGTTGGCCTTTATGGGAAGACAATGCTGCACTAGAGAGGATTTTGCTTTCTTCCCAGAGGAATTTTCTTAGGGTCTTACGGTGAACCCTGAATTGAGGGCTGTTTGGCCTACAGTATTGACATAGCTTATGTAAGAAACAAACCTACATTATAGTCAAGGGGTCAGTGTCCCTTCTGTTGTCCATGCCGGCCTCCAGCAAGATAACCGTATTCTCCAGCACTTGTTTTTAAACACTGAAATAGCATCGCACGCACACTGCCTTGAACTTTCATGCTTACTCCAAAGCTTTATGCAATTTCAAATTGGCAGAAGGGGGGCCCACTCTAGTACAAAGGGCTGCTGCCAAGTTTGTTGGCGTTGAGCCTTCCTCATCTTGTTGAAGCATCTTCCTCATTATGAAAGAGATATTGAAGTTGACACTGCTGGAGTTGTCCTAAAATGACAGCAGGACTTCTGGGAAAAAAAATGAATGCATACACTACATTTTCTCTAACCAAGGGCCTGTTTAGCCCAGTAACCCAATCAGATGCTTAGGTAGACATAAGATCATGGTGCCGTCTCACCCATATTCCCAGCAACTGGTATTCAGAGGCACTGGGGTATGGTATAGACACCTTAACTATGTCAAATTAACAGGACTGCTCTTTTCCCCCCCACCAGAGTGGACTGCAGAGTCTGGAGTAGCTGTACCAAGTGGCTGAACAGAACCTGAACCCCTTTTGGTATTCTGCTGCTTCACGTTTCCTTGGAGTTAAAGGAAGTCAGTCACTACAGGCGTGTTTTGGAATGTGGAGAAAACACAGCTTGCATAAATAGGAAAAATGGTAACTCCACCCCTGGACTTTATCCCAGCCACTGGAGGTCAAACCTCAAGGAAGTGGCCTGGTGATCTCTTACCCTCAGACACCAGCCTTGTTGATGCCGCCTCAGTTCTGCCCATGTCCTGCTCAGAGGAAGACTCCTCTTCCTCCACTCCTTCCAGTTCCCCCACAGTTCCTACGCTCAAGAGTATGAATTCAACTCCTACACAAAGTGGTAGCTCCACAGCCGGCTCCCTCAGTGATGATGCCATTAGCTTGAAGACAGTAAGCAGCCTGGAAGCCGAGCCTTCGGGCCAAAAGGCTAAGCCACAGGAGTCTTCCTTGCACCTTCCTTCATCTAAAAGAGAGAGAGGAGGAGGCTGTGTCCTTCCTCATTTTCCTGAGGATCTAATTCCACCAGCCAGGCTGCCTTGTCCAAGGGCCTCAATGTCTGCAACTCTAGAGGCTGCCCGCTGCACACGACCCAGCTTGCTTCCTGAGTGTGAACAATCTGCCTGCAAGCCACATCTTTTGCAGACCTTTGAACCTTTTGGCTTCAGCCAGGGGAAAAGGCAGGTGGGAAAGAGGAAAAAAAATATACAGCAGCAGCTCTCCAGCATGGAGGCTAGGCTGAAAGCTGTGCAGGAACAGCAAACACTGTGGTTGCAGGAGCTTGCCCCCGCTGTGTGGTATGTTCATTCAGAGCTTGCCAACATCAGCCAGAGCTTGAACAGGCTAGTGCAACTTTTTGAATCATCGGCACTGGCCTTTCCACAACTTCAGGAGAAAGCAGCAGGCAAAGCAGAGGGGAAGAAGGCAGGAGGCAGTCAAGAGTTCCATTCGGCCATACCCTGTCACCTGTGCCGGCGACTTTAAAGAGAACTATTAGCTTGTGGGGACTCCGAGCTCAGATCCTTGTGTACCCAGGGTGGTCTCAACCATATGCAGAATAACAGATGCAAAACTCTTGCCTGTGTTTTTGAGAGTGTCACTTGTATCTTAGATCTCATCCTCTAGGAAGGAGCTTTTTCAACAAGAAAAAATGCAAGGAAAACAGGGAGAAGGTTGAAGTTCCACACAGAGATGTCTCATTTTCAGTAAGATTTAGAGCCACCATCCAGTACTGGAGGAGAATGGGAGCCAGGTCTTGATTTGGCTGCATACCCAACTCCACCAAGCAGCACATCCACCCATATACTGTATGGAGAAACCACTAGAGTCAGGTGAAGGGAAATCTTCCTCTGTGTACTGAGGAAGGCTGGGAGAGAGCCATGTCTTTTGGCTGACATGTGCGGCACTGGCTCTTGCCAGGCGGTACTAGAAAACATGGGAGCTGCTCCCCTGCCACCAAGGGTAACTTATAAAGTGGAAAAGAATATTCCCAGCATGAAAGATTCTTAGCTCCAGCTGGCAGTCTTCTAGGTGAGGCTGAACACCCATTGATTTTGCTGGACATTTAGTCCCACAACACTGCAAGAACCACTTTCCCACGCCTGAGTTAAGGGGTCCTTAGTGGGGAATTAACATAAATCTGGGTGCCTGTTCTGTGGAACTTGGAATCTCGATTGTATGAGACCGTCTCCAATCAGGCGCGCTTCCAAAGAATTGCAACCTTTCCACCCACACCCACACCCACATCTACAGGACACAGGAACAGCGGGGAGGGACGCCCTTGAAACTGCTCTGACGGGAAAGGAGACTAAAGACTTCGTTAGCCAGAGGGGGGCAGAAGCACCTCACTTTTGCTCCCCTCGGCAAAGGCAGCGCGGGGCGGGGCGGGGCGACGAGCAATAACTGGCCCCAGAAGTGAATGGGCTCCGGCGGTTCGGAGGCTCCTGTCACCTGTAAGGCCGCCAGAGGAGAGACGGCGTGGGCGAGCGCTTGTCCCGCCAGGTAAGGACGGGCTTCCTTTCACAAGCGGCTCTGTTCGACCTGCGGTGGGTCTATATGGTAGGAGCAGCTGAAGTTTTGGCGCCGCCCCCGCTCACCGCCACCATCACCACCAGGCACGTGTTCTGGTCGGTTCTTTCTGCAAGAGACACATTTGCCGGATTCGGCGCTCAGCATTTGTGGGGTGAGGGGTGCTTTGCCCCGAGGGCGGAGCTCCAGCGTGTTTCTGGCCCAGTCCCTGTCAGGTCCGCTTTGATTTGGATTCCTGCATTGAGGAAGGGGGTTGGACTCGATGGCCTTAGAGGTCCCCTTCCAACTCCCTGATTCTCCTAATTATTCCCGGGCTATTTTTTCCGTCAGCCGCGGCTTCGGCTGCCCCTCTTCTACCCAAACCCCGATGCTGCTGCTGGTCCAAGTCCTCCTTCGCCGCCTCCTGGGCGGCCGCCACCTCGTTCCGCTCCCATGGTGCTGCTTCCAGTTTCCCCCTGGCGTTGCTGGCCGGCGCCCGAGCAGCTGGAGCCTTGCAGGTTGCCCCGCGCCCGGGGCCTGCGATCGCCAGACCGGGTTGAGGGAAAGGCGACGATTGATTTGGGTCCCGAGGCTGGGTTTTTGGCGCCCTGAAGTTGCGAGAACGGGCGACCTTTTGAGGCCTGCTGGACTCTTTCCCGAGGCTGTGGGCAGTGTGGAAGATGGACAGGAAAGGGGGAAAAATCAAAATCAGCCTAATCAGATAAAGCATCTAAAGTGATTTGGGGACTGTACAGGTTTGTGATTTGTTCTGCTGCTGGAAGATGCCAATAGAGCCTAGAAAGTTACTTAAAAGTTACTTTTAAAAAGTAATTCCTTCCTACTTCTCACAGTTCATTGGTTAGAAAAAGAATGTAGGATTGATAAAGGAGTCATAAAACACCTGTTAAAATTCTTTTAAAAATATGCTTTAAAAGTAACTAAAAATTGTTACCATTTACATCATGTGTTATGTGTTGCGGGCAATTTCGTAGCATTTTGAGCAATAATATCAGATAAGAGTTTTATCCTTGTTTCCCTATATAAAGCAAAATTATACCCTGTAGTGTAGGACACCTTCAGCCTGGCCACAACCAAAGCTACAAATTTGTTACAAAGGAGGAATTATTTATTTTATTTATTTATTACTTTGATTTATTCTGTCTCATTACTGTTGAAGCACTATTCTGGGTGGTTTACAGACAGTTAAAACAAACTACACACAACAAAGCACTTGTGACCTAAAGTTCACATCACTGGAAGCATGTTCTTATACAATGTGACAATGTTTGCATCCTTCATGTCCTGTGGTACTCCACCTTCCCTCCAGCAAAGACAGAATATTTCATACAGCTCAGCGGTGATGATCTCTTTACATTAATTCAGCACTTCAGCAGGGATGTTATCCTTCCCAGGTCCTTGCCGAATGTGAGGGAATCCGAAGCAGCTTTTATTTCGGCTAAAGTTAGTTCGCTGTCCAACTCTTCCAAGACAGGCAGGAACTCAATGTTACTTAATACCTTTTCAGTTACTACACTCTATCTGGAATATAGCTCAGAGTAGTGCTGCACCCAGCATTCCATCTGCTATGCTCAGTCCTGGATGATCACGGCTGTAGCAGTCTTCAAAGGAGCAGATTTCTTCTGTATTGGACCTAAAGCCTGCTTGAAACCATCATACATAACATTGATGTTACCTGTGTCTGTATCTGAGAGCCGAGCTGAAGCCAATAATCATTAGAACATCTCCTGGAAGCCTGTTGGACTTTGCTACGAGCAACTCGAAGAGCCTGCAAGTTGTACTCACTAGGACAGGCTTTGTATGCTGCTAGAGCTCTCCTCTAGCAAATATGCGCAAATATACTGTATATGTGTCAGAGAAAGGTGACAGGGAACCAAATGGCAGTTGTTTGTTGAACACTATAAAGCTGAAGAGGGAGGAGTACTGTACACAGTCATGGAATGAGCTTCCTTCTGAACAGATGATTGTAGGATTGCTCCGTATCTAAATGTCTTCAGGATCAATGTTACATGCTAGCCGGGGGGGGCGGGCTCAATTTCTTTTAATATACAAGTCCCAGGGAGTTCATGATGTAGGGGAAAACAAGGTAGTCCTCCTCATAACACATTATGTTTATTAACTTAATACATTAAAATGCTATCTTCTTATTGACTTATAGCCAATCATTGAGTGGGTGGATTTAAACAACCTACTCCCTGGCTGCTCTTCTAGTGATGATCTTAATTTCCAGGACTGCTTATTCATTATTTAAAAAAATTTTTAAATGAGATGGAGGGAAATACCTGGTGTGTCCCAGATAGTTTGAAGCTTATTCTTCCACTTACATGAGGACAGCCTGCACTATTGGGGATACTGGAAATCAAGCTGGGGGTGGAATTCACTTGCTTTTGGTTCATCGGCTGACACTGTCAAACAATGCCTACTCCATTGTCAAGGTGACTGGAATATTTTGCCTACTGGACAAGAACATAAACTAATGGGAAGGAAGAGTCACTCCCCATGGCCGGTCATGGGTCAGGCAGGGACTTGTCTCAGCCCCTCTCTTTTTCTAAGTTCATTGTGCCTCTTCGGGTATTCTAACACCACCCTCTTGCCTTCTCCTTTTCCAGAATGTTGTTGGGCCTCACGGACTGCGTGCTAGAGCTACTAGCACTGGAGAAGACCCCATTCCGGACCCTGGCTATCTCCAGTCTATGCCTTTCCTTGCTGGCTTTGTTCCTCCATCTCCTCTGGAGGACCTTGGGCTCCTGCTACCGTTTTTATGTCAACAGTCAGAGACTGCGCTGTTTCCAAGAACCTCCGCGCCCAAACTGGCTTCTGAGGCATTTACACCTCGTGAGTGCAGCCACTGAGTCAAACCCAAGGGTTGGTCTGAGGAAGGGAGGGGTCTGGCTTTGCTGAGGGAACAGAAAGTCAAAGCCATCATGCTGAGGGGGGTGGGATTGCTTCTCACAAATGCTGTCCCCACTCTCCACACCATGCAAATACATGTAGGGTAGCCACATCAAAAAGGAAAGCAGAGCTCCTCTATCTTTAATAGTTGGAGTGGAGAGGGCAAATCTAGCCTGTCATGTACCTGTCCAGACAACTCTTAAAGGCGGAGGGGCCCGAGCTTCTTTTTTTCCTGTCTCCCTCTTCCCAAAAGGTGTCCCGGGATACCTGTGTCATGTTTCGTTTCCTGTGGGAAGCTACACAGCACAGCAAACCCTCTCTCAGTTTGTTTCCCCATCCTCATTTTCTCCTGGCCAAAGCATTTTGTGCCAGAACAGGCTGTGCCTGATGCTTAATTTCTGTGGAAGGCCAGTTTGCCCGGCAGTCCCTAGAAGCCAAGAATAGAGCAGCAGACGAACCAGTGCCGTGTATTATGTTGAGCACTGAAACTGTGATTGGGGACCAAGACCTGAACTGCCTTCAGCCCTTTTTGCCTCTCTGTGATTCCGACTGCAGTGGCCATCTCTGGCACTCCTGATTTGCAAATGGTTGTGGGGGTGCGTGTTTGGAATTCCAGGTGGGGACAAAGGGACAAAAAGCTACCAAGTCACGCTCCTGATCCGCCTCTGTCCGCCAACCCCACTGCTTTGATGGAGATTCATGTTGTCTAAACCTGTTAAGCATGCTGGGGCTGACAGCTTGGCAAACATAAAGCCCTTCAATTATTTACACTTTTTTTCTAGTATTTTTTTTCGGCAATTAGATCCAGGGCTGCTTAATACTTTCTGCAAGGGTATAAACGTCATCCCCAATACTTTCAGGACAGCCCCCTCCCATGTATGCTGGGAAGTAACTCCATTCTCAACCAATGCCTTTAGTGCCTCTTGGCAGAGCTTGGAGGAGAGGTTACTATTTAGACTCCATCCCCGAGCATCTCCTAGTCATCCTTGCTTTGTCTCTGTTATGACTCCCACTAGAATGAGATTTCACCAGACCCAGACATGTCTGCTTGCAATGTAACGTCCAGAACCCAAGTGCAGCTTTAAAGACTTCTTTTACCAGATGCATGTTAAACCCCAGCCTGCTTAACCAGCTTTTTAAAAAATGACTCTCCAGCAAAGCAGTGGGGTGGGGACACATCCTGGTCAGCACCCATTCCCACCTGAATGTCCCACTGGCCATGGCACTATACCCTCCCATGAGCACCATCACCATCACTCACTTGCACCTGTCATTTGCAGGTTGACACCAACGAGGAGGGAATGGTTGAAGTGGTCCGGCTGGTAAACACCCTCTCCCCTGCATTTCTGACATGGATGGGGCCCTTCCTGCCTTTTGTGAGCTTGGTTCACCCTGATTATATCAAGCCAGTTTTGACAGCTTCAGGTACGGTACTTGATTGATTGATTGATTGATTGATTGATTGATTGATTGATTGATTGATTGATTGATTGATTGATTTGACATATACTGCCCACCCGGCCTGTGGTCACTCTGGGCAGTTCACAACACAAAAGTAACATAAACAAAATCATATAATACAACTCAATCATAAAATAAAATGCAACCGTTTTGAATATTATAAAGTGTATTCCAAAGTACCTAGGTCTAAAATACATTCTAAAATGCCTAGACATTTAAAGTGGTAATATGGCTTTTTCTGAAAAATTTGCCGCCTCACACAACGATGTTTCCTATGGGGAATTTTCGCACAACGATGTCTCTTTTCACTCATTTAAAAGTGTCTTAAACTGTTTGAAACCTGTTTTAAATGCTTGGCATCAATAGTCCAGCTTGTGAAATGTATGCAAACTTAATTTGGTGTTGTTCTGAGGCGTCGTTAATTTTTGGTGAATTTTTTAAATTCTCCATTGAAAGCCATTGAAGTCCAATGACTTTCAATGGAGAATAAAAAAATTCACCAAAAATTAACGAAGACTCAGAACAACACCAAATTAAGTTTGCATACATTTCACAAGCTGGACTATTGATGCCAAGCATTTAAAACAGGTTTCAAACAGTTTAAGACACTTTTACAGGAGCAAAAAGGGATTTCGCAAACCCATTCAAATGCATTGAGTCGGCTTCAATGCATTTCAATTGGGGAACCGCGTTTCCCTCAACGATGTTTCCTATGCCGATTTTCACTTAAGGACGGCAATCCGTTCCAATTGGAACGGATTAACCGGTTTTCAATGCATTCCTATGGGAAATGGTGTTTCACAGAACGATGTTTTCACAGAACGGTTTTTTTTTTGAACCAATTAACATTGTTGTGCGAGGCACCACTGTACCTAGGTCTAAAATACATTCTAAAATGCCTAGACATTTAAAGTGGTAATAGTCAATAACGTCGGCTGTTGGCTTTGAATATCAAAGGAGGAACTAAGTTTAATTAATTAATGAGTTTCATCATTGCATTTACTTTTGTGTCGTTCCTTGTGGTGCAGTGGTTAAACTGCAGTACTGCAGAGAGGACTCTGCTCACGACCTGAGTTCAATCCTGGGCTCAGGTACCCGGCTCAAGGTTAACTTCGTTTTCTATCCTTCTGAGGTCAGTCCATTGAATACCCAGTTTGCTGGGAGGAGGGCAATGGGGAGCTTGCATAATTAAATGGAAAACCACCCAGAGAGTGCTTCAAGCGCTATGGGGTGATATATAAGCAGCACACTTTAGTTTAGGCCAGCCAACGCTGCTGTCCTCTCTCATTTTTAATTGCGACAACAAGGAAACCTGAGAGAGAGAGAGAGTGGTAGGCACAAATCCAGCAAGGCTCATGGCTCAGTGGCCACTGAAGCCTGAGTCCCCCAAGCCCCCCTTCCAGGTCTTTTAGCCACTCTTGTCATCCCAGTGGTTCTAGCTTCTTCATCTTGGGACAAGAGAAGGAGTTGCCGTGGATGACCTCAATTCCAGATGGGAGGAGGCTGGGGGCAAAGAATGGCTCTGGGATATTGCTCTTGGTTTCCCCTTCTTCCTTCAGCTCGTTCTTTTGCTGCCTGACTGTTTTCTGGTTATCTCTGTGTGTAAGCTGTAATGTTCCATGGTACAGTATTTGTCAAGCCTGGTTATCTCTGTGTATAAGCTGTAATGTTCAGTGGTACAGTATTTGTCAAGCCGTCATTTATCCAACATGCCCTTTAGGGACCTCCTTCTCAAATTTCTAAGATATGATAACTACTCAAAACTTTGCCAGTGATTCAGCAGTGGGTCCTGACTTGCTAACCGATGGCAAGCTATAACAGGCAAGGCAGGGAGTGAGGCTCGAATCACCTTTAGCCTCATTACAGGTTAGTGCTGCTTCATGCATACATGTGATGCGGAGGCATTGTAAGTCCAGAGAGCGTTTCACTCCATTTGAATGTCACATTATAAGCTTGATAGGAACAGGAGCCACTTTCAGCCTCATGTGTGCAAAATGCCTTCAGAGTGCCAAGGTCACAAAGCAAGGACACGCTTTGCCAGCACTGACTCGTGAAACTAGAAATCTCTCAGAGGTTTTGAAGGATGGTGGGAGAAGCCAAAACTTTAGCTCAAGCTCAACATGGGCACCTCATTTGTTTCAGAGCACATGGGCTTCTGTGAGCAGAGAAGCACACTACGCTGTGTATCAGCTCTTGCCATACCTGCTGTCTCTAGTCTGGTAAAAGCACGGCAAAAGAGTGCTTCCTTTTCTGCAGGTAACAGAAGAAGAACAGAGGCTCGAGTTGGGCAAAAGGCTAAGCTGGCCTCTCTGCTATAACTCAGTCTTGTCCTAGGCAAAGACCACTGAGGAAGGAATGCAGGATGTGGAACATCTGGTTGCCCAGTATGGCCATGCCTGTGTCTGGTGGCTTGGGCCCTTGATTCCTGTTTTGAGACTTTTCCACCCAGATGCCATTGCTCCTGTGCTCCAGCAATCAGGTAGATGGAGGCAGAGAATATATACTGTATACATATATATCTCTCTCCCTCTTATTCCCTCCCTCCCTCCCTCCCTCTCCCCCCCCTCTCTCTGTGTGCATGTGCACAGGGAACAAAAAAGGCTTGCTTATTAGGCTGCAATAGTGAAGCCAAACAAAGAAGGTCTGACATCTCATGATTGCTAGGACTCTTCCCAGGTAGCAGAGTCTACAGAAGTATCTCATTATTAGCCCTCTTTCTTCTCCTTTCCCTGGACTCATAAGGAGGATCCATCTTTTGGAAGCAAAGTACCATGAACTCCAGTTTAAATTTGGCCCAGGCAGACTAAAATACAGCCTAGAGTTAAGTTCCTTGGTTGGGAAACTAGGGTATGGTGTCCATATTCATCCCCCAGAAGTATCTTCTGGCAGAGTCAGGTCCATAAGTACAGTTGTCTTGTTCAGTTGTTTGGGAGAGTAAAATAGCTTTGAGGCCCCAATACCTTCCATCTTGAGAACAGAATGTTGGAGGACTGTTGTCGCCAGTGGCTCATGCTGGCCAGGGGATTCTGATAGCTGTAGCCCAAGAAAGTAACCTCTTCATGTTCTTCTGCCAATACCAATACCATCAATGGCAGCTCCGACAGGGAAGGTCCATTAGATGGGCACATGCAAAAGAGAGTGGGGCTCCTTGCACCTGTGACAATGGGGCCAGAAGAAGGATTGTCAGCCGCAGGTGTGGTTTCTTTGATGAGCTACATCAGCTGACACTCCATTTCCCATGCAACTGGGGTAATCCAAAGAAACCCTTATGCATCCTAGTGGTTAGAGTCCACCGTGTTGTGATAAGTAACACAGAGCCTCCAGGAAAGCTTGTCAAGGAGTGCTTGGGCTGCTGCTTAGCATGTGCCCCTAAGGAAGTGTATTGCATTGCAGCTGGAGAGCTTACTGTATTTTCAGGCAAATATGGTCATCATGTAAGGGAAGCATGTAAGGAGTTACTTGCATTTTCTGGTAGAAGGAAGAAGTACTTAGTCAAGATGGAGGAGAGAGGGAGCTAAGCCCTGTTAGCCCTCTTCAGAGCTTGGAATAATTGGTGGCCATGTTGCCCTCCCTCTGTGGAGGTTCTGGAACTTTTCCTCTGCTCATCCTCAACTGAGCTGTCTTGCAGTATAATTGTTCCACTGCAATAAATGGGCAAAATATGTATTACTATGAGAGTGGAAGAAAATACTTGTAAGTGCTAGGAGCAGAGCTGCTGTGAACGTGGTGTCTTTCTCAATGGGAGATGCCCCTTCTTTTTGTGAAATTGTTGGCCTGAATTATAACTATTTACTCTTCCACAGAACTGCATGTTGTCCTTGAGTGAAATATTAATCACATGCGGGGCACTGTCGAAAACACTCCTTAAAATAATCCACTGACCTTGAAACCCTGTTAAGGTTGCTATAAGTGGGATGCAACTTGACAGCACACAATGACAACTGTGATAATAAAGAAGGTTGAACTGCTATATTTCGGTGCTTTGGGGTTGTTGAATGCTCCTAGTCATCACCTGTGAACGGATTTAGACAGTGTACCCTTTGGGTGTCTTCCCATAATTCTGGTGGAGTCTCTCCTACTATACACCTGTGTGTATCTCCCATGTGGTGAGAAGACCCTCTCTTTTCTCACACTCTTTCTGCATGTACCCCAACATATATGTTTGTCATTATGTGGGCTGGGTGTTGTTTTCGACAGAAAGGAAATATTAACACTGAATTGTTTGAAAAATAAGAAGAAATAAAATGAGCTTTACATATATATATAAAGCTCATTTTATTTCTTCTTATATATTTTGGTTTTTGTCTTGTCTTGTTTTGTTTTTGTCTGACATGCTTGCAAAGGCCAACCCAGCTACTTCTTTGAAAACATCAGATATATATAGGCCAACACAGCTACTTCTTTGAAAACATCAAATATATATACTGTATATGAGAGATGTTTTCAAAGAAGTAGCTGTGTTGGCCTGTGCAAGCATGTCAGAAAAAAACAAAATTAAAAGAAGATAACAGATAAACAATGTTTTCTAATATTTATCATTTATTTTTATATGCTCACATATATTATTTATTTATTTAGTGCACATATATAAAACAATTTTGCATAAAAATAAACATAATGGAATAGACAAATAGAAGGATGAAAGAGGGCATCAGAGATTGACTGGAGGGAAGGCCTGCCGAAACATCCATGTTTTAAGTTTATTTTTAAAGGTACCCCGTGAGGGAGCTACACGAATCTCAGGAGGTAGGTTGTTCCAGAGGCGAGGAGCCACCACCGAGAAGACCCGATTTCTTGTCTTTTCCTTCCGGGTCTCCCTCGGCGTAAAAACGAATCCCAAGGTTGCACTATCATACTGCCCTAACAGTTAAGAAGTTTTTTTCTGATGTTCGGCCAAAATCTGGTTTCCTGTAATCTGAGCCTTTTATTGTGTATCCTGCACTCTGGGATGATAGAGAACAGGT